GTGAGTGGGGAGCCCAGAACTGGACCCAGGACTCCAGATGGGGCCTCCCCAGGGCAGAGCAGAGTAGAGGGGGAGGAGAACCTCCCTGACCACCAATCACAGCTTGGCCCCTTTGCTACCCCTCAGCGCTGATGTTTCTCTCTCCTCCTGCGGCAGCTGAAGGTGGCTGGGACCATCTGCAGGGAAGCAGCGGGATCCTGTGACCTTCCCGAGTACTGCACGGGCGCCTCGCCCTACTGCCCGGCCAACGTCTATCTGCTGGACGGCTCATCCTGTGCCTATGGCGAGGCTTACTGCAACAACGGCATGTGCATGACCCACCACCAGCAGTGCGTCCAGCTCTGGGGACCAGGTGAGTCCCACCAGCCCCAGCCACCCCTGGTGGCCTACACACAAGCATCTGGGGATGTCTAGAAATGCCCCGGTTGAGATGTCACCAGGGCAATGTCTGCGAGCGTGGAGGAAACCACGTCCCATGGCTCCTGCTGGGGGTGCTGTCAACGCACGCTTAGAGGTCCCTGATCCTCTGCAGTGCCCGTCCAGCCACTGCATACTGCCCATACATTGCATACAGCCCCCCATATGGCCTCATGCTGCACGTGACTCCATATGCTGCACGTGACCTCCTCTACTTGTGGCTTCCTCCGCAAGCATCCCGCCACCCCTCCCCGGTTTGACGTGACCTCCTCTACTTGTGGCTTCCTCCTCCAGCATCCAGCCACCGCTCCCGGTTTTGATATTTCTGGCTGCTTTCCCCATGCCCACATGGGACCTTTCCTCCCTCCCTGCAGGCGCCTGGCCAGCCCCGGACGCCTGTTTCCAGGACGTGAACATGGCTGGGAACACCTACGGCAACTGCGGCAAAGACAGCCAAGGGCGCTACGTGAAATGCGACAAGAGGTGGGTGCAGCGCTGGCACCCATGGGTGCCCCATCTCCTCCTCCAGCACACACAGCCCCCTGCTGCCCACCCCTGCAGAGGGGCTGGCAGGGTCCTACCCCAACCTCCTGCCATCACCCCTTGGGCCAGATCTGGTCTGGACCTGAGGAAGCCGCCAGGTTCTTCCTCGGCTCAGTCCCCATTACTGCTGGGAGGTTGTCCCACCGCGCATCACCTCCCAACCCAGCCTGAAGGGAAAATCAAAGACAGCATCAGCAGGAGACACTATTTAGAGGGCGTGTGCTCTTCAGTATTCCCAGTTAGACAAGGAATGTTGGAGAGACCACCCCTGCCTATTCCCTCCAGCATTTCTCTGCACTGTCCATGATTTATCCAAGTCCTTTCTGAACCTGCTGAGCCTCTCCCATCACAACCTGCTCTGGCCATAAATTCACAGGGAGGCGAACCATCAGGCAGCGGGGCCAAGGGTGATGGGACAGGGAGGGTGAGGTGGCTGGTACCCACATCTCCTGCCCTCACCTCGTCTGTGTCCTGCTCCTAGGGATGCTATGTGTGGCAAGATCCAGTGCCAGAGCTCAGCTAAGAAGCCCCAGGGGACCAACACTGTCTCCATCGACACCACCATCCGTTTCAACGGGCGGGAGGTGAAGTGCCGGGGCACCTACATGTACACCGCGAAGGACGACGAAGAAGACCTCTCCGACCCCGGGCTGGTGATGACGGGGACAAAATGTGGAGATGGGATGGTGAGTACCTCTTCCTAGGGCTGGGGTCTCCTCCAGGAGATCTGCTCCTTAGCTCTTGTCCCAGCTCCAGTGTAGACATTGGCTCTTCTCTGCATTACAGCTGGGCTATGGGATGTGGTTTCCTCCATGCTTGCAGACGTTGCCCTGGTGGCATCTCAGCTGGGGCATTTCTAGATATCCCCAGATGCTTGTGTGTAGGCCACCAAATCTCCTCTCTGGCCTTCATGCTGCTTTACTGATTTAATGCATAGTGGAGCAACCCCAACAAGAATGGCATGCCCCAGGACTTGATGGATGAGGCTTCCTCCTATCAATAAACTGTTTCCCAGGGATAAGCTGGGTTAGGAATCAAGACAACAGATCCAAAGAGATGCTGCTAACTGAGCTTCAGGTTTTTTTACAGCCCCTGCATCTCCATGTACCTCACAGAGGGTCAGTTCAGCTGAGAAAGGGCTGGTTGACAACACGGTAGCAGGGGATGCACGCCAGACAGAGCTGGCTGGGGAGATAGGGCCTTTGCTGCTTGGCATTTTAATTGAGAAATTTTCATCCCAGTTTGGGATGGAAGGCCAAAACGTCAACATTTACATGAGAAAGGATGGCTGGTTTTGAAATCCAATGTTTTTCTTGGCTGGTGCTTGCCTTTTAGAGCCAGATGGGAAATGCCTTCTCCAGGAGCTGCCAGGTGGGTTGTCAGGGGAGGAGTGGGAGTGGTGGTGGCTGGGCTCCTCTGAGCCGTCCTGGATGGGGGAATGGCAGAGGTTTCCTGGACTGTGCTGAAAATTGGAGTGAAATGCGTTGACCTGGAACAGTATGATTTAACCAACCTGCATTTTCCAACGGACAACGTCCTTCCAGAGGACTCCCATCTGTGAAGCCAGAAGATCATTGTCCCTTCTGTCTCAGGTCTTTCTCTAACCTCAACTTCTTGTCTCTCTCTCAGGTTTGCAAAGATCGCCGGTGCCAGAATGCTTCCCTTTTTGAGCTGGAAAAGTGCGTTTCCCGGTGCAATGGCCATGGGGTGAGTTGTTGCCCGAGACCTACAGCAGGCTCCTGAGATAAGCGCAGATTCTTAAGCGAAACCAAGTGTCTCCCACAGGGATGAGCCTTGAAACGCAGTGGGCATCTGCTTTTCATAACTCTCTCATGCATCAGCTATGGGTGAGACTGAGCTGAGATCTTTGCTTAACCGTGTCCAAGTTAGAGGAAGAAGATCACTCGTGATGTAAGGACCAGCTGCAAAATTTGGATCAGGGTCCCATTTGAACCGGAGATTGTTTAGAGCAGGTGCCTGTTCCCTCTGAGAGCAAAGCAAGGGTTAGAAACACAACTGGGATTGCAAAAAGGCAGGGAAATGGTTCAGTGAACAGAAAGAGCCGCTATTGTCCAAAGCTTAAAGGCTACAAAGATTTGACCTTTGCAGAACACAGGGCTTTGTCAGATGAGGCAACAGCAATGCTATGTTTTAATGGGAAGATCCCAAGGGGAAGATGTTCAGCAAACTTCTGGCCTAACACAAAGTATTGAGGGCATCAGGCATGTCTAGTCAAGAGGTGTGAAAACTGAGGGTATAAGTTGGTCTTCAAGGTTTCTGCAAAGAGCAGGGAGATGAAAGTGCCAACAAAAAAACATCTCTATTCGTTGCAATCACACATTTGAGGGCAACACAGACATGACCCTTCCAACCCAAACTATTCTATGATTCTGTGATTCCACGATGAACCAGGTGGTATTCAAGGGCTAAATACTGGCAGGGGTTAAGCTCCTTCAGCCTGGACTCCTGCCATTGGCCATCTGCTCTTATCCCCACTGTATAGACCAGCATTTCCATACATCCCCCGTGGTCTCCAGCGCTCCTTCTCTCCCGTCAGGTCTGCAACAGCAACAAGAACTGCCACTGCGATTGCCGGCTGGGCTCCTCCCTACTGCGAGAAGCCGGGCTTGGGTGGCAGCGTGGACAGTGGCCCTGTGCAGCGCGACAGTGAGTCATGACTTCTTGTCTGGTGCCTTGTCACAGTGGTGGGGCTGGAGCAGTACCATGAGAGGGAGAGATGGGGAGATAAAGCTGCTGGCAGCTCTGCTCCCACTTGTGCTGGGTTGGGTCCGTTCAGGCAGACTCACAGCCTGTGCCCAGCTCTGGTTGCTTGGTGGCCACCCATTTTTATCAGAGGCCACCAGATGGTACTGCTCCCTTTCTGGAGGTGTGGGCAGCAATGATGTCTCTAACCTGGGTGGCCAGGAAAGGGCAGACGCGACCGATGTCTCCATTGAGTGGAGATGGAGGCGGCTGGCTCGCCCAGTCCTGCACTTATCTTTGTGCTTTCCCTGCCAGATCATGAAGCCATCTTAATCAGCATTCTGCTCATCTTCCTGCTCTTCCTCCCGGCCTTGATGATGATCACTTACTTTTGGTATCGGCGCGAGAACTCGCTCCTGAATAAATGGATAAAGGAGATGAGGAGGAGAAGCCAGGAGACATACAGGTGGGTGATGCATCCTAAATCCCTCCTCTCCTGAGGACCCAGTGACACCCTGAAACCTTGTTTTCTTGCTACTGGCAGCATCCAGCCTGGTAGGAACAGTTGTGGGGGAGCTGGTGGTGCACAGTGCCAGTTTCAAACTGGTATGAGACCTGGTTGAGATACGAAGAGCTCTCTCCTGTGACAATCTGAGACCATCAGCTCTCCCCTGAGCAGAGGACAGGAATGATCAGCTGGACAGGACAACCAGAGAGAGTGATGATGAGGGTGGCCTGGTACCAAGGAGCTTTCTCACCATCTGTTTCTATCAGGCTGCAAGAACTAGAAGGGCTCTAAAGTAGCGCTGAATTTAGATATTCTTATTCTTTCCCCTCCCAGTACAAGTATGGGCACACAGATGCCTCAGAGCCGCTGCAATAATTTGGGAAAAAAAACCCAGAACCAAACAGCCTCCTTCATTACCCTCATTATCTCAAGACAGACTTGTCACCCCTGCTCACCCAGCACTGCAGGACTGTTAATGATCTGTTAACAAAGACAGGATCTTGCTGATGTGCAGCATTTTGGGACACAGCTGTTGCAAAAATGATTGCTTTATTTTGCTATCTGTGATTTACGTTTCTGATCCCGGGCAGGAACAAAACCACGAGTCGGAAGTCAACCAGTGGCCATCCCAAAGCCGCTTTCACCTTGCGGAACATTTCCACCTCCAGCCACACTAATAAAGTAAGTCATAACTCACCTTCCAGGTTTGCTTTCCCTCCCTGGGACTTGATACTTGTGGGTGATCACACCTCCCTCTAGCAGCTGGTGCTCTGTGTTGGTTTCCATTACATCTACACTGTGAGCTCTTGGTCAGTAGGACACATCTCTCCTAAAATGAGTCTGTTGAGGTCTGCCTGCTCAAGAAGACCCAGATGATTGCCAGGAGCCTCCGCCGGGAAATTGCCCATCACCATGGCAAAGCTTAGCAGGGGCTCTGCAATCCCACTGATGACTTTGTGCCGGGTCTCCGGGGAAGCAGATGCTTCTGCTGCTGGTTGTGTCAGCTCTGGTGACCTTGGTATGGGTCAGCCTGGGGCTGAATTCAGGAAGACTTTAGTTTTTTTGAGCACTGCCACAGTGACTGAGAGCAGGGCAGAACAGATGCTGTCTCCCATCTCTGTCATTCAGTCTGGTGGAAATCTGGTGTGGATTCACCAGAGCTGGCCCTGGTCCAGATCTCCTGAGCCCAGCACCTTTCTCATCCCTACGTGCTTTCGTATGGTTAGTGAGGAGCAAGCACGTTCAGCTTTTGGGTGGGATGGTGAAAGTGGAATAAACACCCCGTGCTCCTCATGCAACTCCCTAGCACCCAGACCTTTAGGGGACATCTACTTTCCGGCACCCAGGAAAATGCACCTAAGATTTTCTCCATACTTTCGCTTTCTCGTCCCTCCAGGCAACACGGGCTGTGTTCCCCCCCAAACCCAGAGCTCACCAGCCTGGCTCTCAGCCTGTCAACGTTGTCCACCCTCTTCGCCCGGCTCCCCACTCCGTCCCTTCACGCCCAAGAGACCCCAAGCCTGCCAGGCCACCTCCGCCAGTCAGCAAATCGCCCATGGTCCCCACCAAAACGGTCGTCTCCCAGGCTAAGCTGCCACCTCCAAAGAAACCTCTTCCCTGCAGCCCTGTGAGGACCCCGCTGGTGAGCTTTGCTGGTTGGCTGTGCTTTCCTGCCAGACTCGTAGAAATTCCCTGGGTTTTGGCTGCCTGTGGCTCTTCTGGGTTGGGCACTACTGAGGAGCTGTCACGCCATCCTGAGATGACTCTGTTACAACGGTGAAGAAAGCTCATTAGATAATGAGAATATTTTAAGGTAGTTTGGGTGGTGTCGTTACATGCTTTGAAGCATCTCAGCTCTGCAGCAGGGGAGAGAGGTTTGCAGCAGGTCACTGCATGCTCTGCTAAGGATATTGTCTCTCCCCATACACTTTGTGATCCCAGATTGTCCCAAAGCACCAGCCCCCCCGTCGGCCGCTGCCTGGAAGTCCCCTTCTGGCCAAAGAGCTGCCTCCTGCACATGGACAGACCCTGCTGGTCATGGTCCCTCCTACCAACTTCAAGGCGTCGGGTGCCAGTGCCATGAGCCACCCCACGAGGCCATTAAAGTAAGTTGAGAGAGGAGTTGAGCTATTTCCCACCACTGCTGGGGTCCTGCAGGTGGGCACGGTGGGGGGTCTTGTAGGTCACATCTGGGTGAGACATCCCAAATGTCACCGCGGTGTGCTCTGGTCTGCTCCTTGTGGTGTCTTCACTGTGACCTGGGCTGCTCCTGCTCCTCCCCGGTATGGCTGGTGTGTACGGGCCAGGCTGCTGAGGAGCAGCAGGAGTGCTCTGTGCTCTGGGCGGTGTGGGTCTGTACCTGCTGTTGTAGCTACAGAGAAGTTTGAAGCCCACCAGCTTTGAGGTAACTGGCGTGTGGAGCATTGGGGATCTTTGGTGTGGGGCATCTGGGAGCAGCAGCAACAGGCAGAAAGGAAATCGGAAGATGTCCCAAATCCTGCTACCTGGAGAGCAACCACAACCAAAGTGTTTGTCCGGATGAGGACCCTACGTACATAAACAATCCTGTGCCCATGCTCTCTCTTGCGTGGTGCAGGAGAAAAGCCTGCCCACCCGAGCAAGGTACCTGTGGGTGTCTGGGGTCTGCAGCCATGCCTCCACCTGGCAGGAGCCCACAGGGTTTGGGTAAAGTTGACCAGTGATGACCGAGGTTGGGACTTTGGGTCTTACAGGGGTTATGGGGGATGCTGTCCTTTGGTGGGTGCATGTGGCTCCTTGTCCCAGAGCACGAGGGGGCTGTTGGTGAGCTGCTGGGGGACAGTGGAGTGAAGGGATGGACACTGATGCTCTGTTTCATCTTTCCTCCCTACAGACCGATGCCACCTCAAAGGTGAGTCACAGACACCATGTAGGACCATGGGGACTGCTTGTGGGGGGATGGCCTTTGGTTAAGCACTGGGCTGGGAACCAGGAGACTGGAGATTAAATGTCCGCCTTCCCAGAGGCTCCTAGATGAGGAGGACATAGCCCCTCTGGGTACTCCAGCAACAGCAGGACTTGGGCATCTGCATCCAAGGGAATGGAGGACTCAGGTTTTCCAGTTTGGAGCTGGGAGATGAAGTCCAAGTCCTTTACAACATCACTGCTACTTTCAACCCTTGCTATGCTGCTGAATCCTCTGGATATGATAGGTCAATGGAGCCTCAAGGGATCACCCTTGCATCTGCTCCTGCTAGTCAGGCTTGTGGGTCATATCCAGCCATGGAGAGCAGGCACCATGCTGGAGTGAAGTTGGCTCTCATCCCGAGACAGTCTGCTTTGCTAATTACTGCTTTGCTGCTCTTGGACTATTTTAGGTTCCTATGTCTTTGTAGTTGCCACCACAAGGAGGCTGAATATGCCCCAAAATTTCTTAGTGTAACTCAATCCCTATAGCAGATAAATCTCTTCTAGTGGATAAAGCAGGCCTGTTCTCTGGTACCGAAAGAGAAAGATTTGGCACACCCCAGCAGCCAAACTCGGCTTCCTCCCCAGATGTAGTAGTTTGCTGCCCACCTGGAGCGGTCCCTGGCCATCCTCCCTTGAAATGGTCCCCATGCAAAAGAGTTTTGACTGGCAGGGTCAGACTTGTTCCAGGGAGCAGGACATGCCCATGTGCTGATCTGGATTCATTACTTGACACTCCCAACATGGTCAGAGAGGGCCAGGGAACTGTTTTCTTTTCTAGACAGATGAGGTGTGGAAGAGGTGAGAGATTTTGTGATTCCCAGGATGGACTGTAGGATCCATGTCGGGTTGTTGATTTGGTGACAGATGAGGTGAGAGAGTTTTGTGATTCCCAGGATGGACTGAAGGATCCATGTCGGGTTGTTGATTTGGTGACATCTCTTGGTAGCGCGTGAATCACCTTGGCTGTCTTTGGGAAGCTGAGAGCAGTAACCCCTTCGGGGACATGGTTCCCGCAGTTGGTGGGCTCGCAGTTCTCACTGCTGGTTACTGCTTGGTGACACCGCATGCTTTGGTGGACTTTGCATCCTATCAGGGTTTTGTGGGTATGCCAGAGGAAAACACCTCAAAGCGATACAGTTTGGGGTTGTATTTTTGAGAGAGGACAAGTGTGACCATGGCAGTCCCAGGTCCCCTCTGGTCTCAGGGACAGCAGCTGGTCTGTCTTCCCCGAGCTGTGGAAAAATGGTTGTGGTGGAGGTAGTGGATGCTTGGTCTCTGTACTCAAATGAGTTGTCTCCTTTCTCTTTCTTGTCACTTTAGGCCAGTCCCAGCCATCAAAGTCCAATCAGCCTCCTTCCTCTTGAAGAAGTGACAAACCAAGGACACCTTAAGCCCATCCTTCCTGAGCTGGCTCTCCTGATTTGCACTGCTGCTGGCGACAGGGGTCTTTTATTCCTCTCTTGTTTTATTTGTCTTTTGATACCAGAGGACTATTTTTTTAAGACAGAATATGTATTCAGCACGAAAACTCTAGTGGTGGGCGGCGGAGAGGGGAAATCGGTACTATGATATATCTAAGGGTTGGGGTGGGCTGGTGGTGGGGTTACCACGATGGAGACTCCACCAAAGCTCCTGGCATCGCTTCCTTGCCAATTTACCCCCCAGCTTTAGTTTCTTCTTGGCATTGCACATGGGCTGCGATGGGGTGACTTAGGGTCAAGAGAACATCCAGCACTGACAAAAGATGCTGATGACAGTGACACCGAAAGCCTTGTAATTTCCTTCTAGCTACCTCCTCCTTCTCCTCCAGGCCTGGTGAGACCCCACCACCACCATTGCCACCAGAGTTCAACGCTGGGCATTGTCTCCGGGGAGACATTTACCATGAGAGCAAAGTGGTTTCCAGTTTGGACTGTGCCATACAGTGCTGGGACATTTCCACGAAGGATCCAAGTTCTCAGGCTTCTCCTGGCCTCCTGCCTGATTGCACAAGAAAAAGCAGTGACAGTCCTGGGGTTTTACCTGGAAGGAGAAGCTGTCTGGGAAATGGTTTGATATCTGAAGTGCTGGTGGCAGCTGGCTACCAGGGTGCTTTCAAGGGGCTCAGGAGCCCTCCATAAACATTGCGTGTTCCCTGCTCATGGGGCAAGCCCAGCAGTGGCTCTGTGAGCTGCTAACACTCTGCTGTCCAAAGGGGGAAGGAGCCACAAGCTGGGAACAAGAGCAGGAAGACCTCCTGCCTGTGTCATCGGCTTGCCCAAAGGCCTTGGCCAAGCCGTTGCATTTCTCTGTGCCTCAGTTCCCCCCATCTGTAAAATGGGGGGGTAATACCTACCTCACAGGGGTGTTGTGAGGTTTAACAAAATGATGTCTTGAAAGGGCTTTACAATCCTCAAAAGAAAGGTGCTGTTGACCTGCACAGTACTGTACTGTGCCACTTTCCTGTGACTTGACATGCGGCTCTGTCAGGGTCTGAAATGAGAACAAAGGCTTTGTGCAGTCCCCTGGCTCCACCGGCTCTTTTCTTGCTCAGAAGTTCCCTGAGCCTTTAGACACCAAGGTCTCCGGGTCTCCTACCACAATGGTGCAAACAGATCCCTGGAGCCCCTTCTGTCAGCCCTTAAACCTGGGATCATTCGCTCCAACTGCGTGTGACATGTCAGCCACCCTGGGGTAGATCCCATCTGACCCAGCACAAATCTTCTGGAGATGTGTCCAACCAGTGTAAAGTCTGTTTGTGGTGTAAGTTCAGGGACAATCCTCAGAAACTCTTCTGGTGTTTTATTATCCCCAGTGTTACAAAACAAGCTGCTAATTGCAAGTTGTTGTTAAGGCCGCCTTAACCTAAGCTGTCCTTACTCTTTTATGATCAGGCTTTGTTCTGAAGTCTTTGGCCATGCATGTGGGTCTTCCCTGAAGTATTTCTGGTACCTCTGTATCTTTCTTGGTTGGTGGATGTAGGATCCAGCATCTCCTCTTACTCTGATAACAAGTCACAGAATCACAGAGTCGTTTAGGTTGAAAGAGATCTCTTGAGATCATAGAATCATAGAATCATAGAAAGTTCTGGGTTGGAAGGGACCCCTCTGGAGGACAGGATAGGTGAACCGGTCCCTAACCCTTCCCAGGATCACATTCTTTTTAGCAGTCTCCCAAGGACTTCTGACATGGTCAGACTGGAGGAAGGAGCCTACAGAGCTCCTGGAGAGGGGAAACCTTGCTCCCTGCCTGTGAATGCCCTCCCTGCTACTGTCCAGTACAGGTGTTAGCAGAGGGTTAAACAGCTGGAGAGGGTTTGGAGAAGTCGCTGCAATGATAAAGTGGCTGGAGAAAACTTTCCTCAATGAGTCGGACCATTTACCTTAGTGACAAAGTGAGGGATGACAGTGCTGCAGTCAAAAAACCACTTTACTGTGAGACCAGAAATTCACATCAAGCTGATGCGATGTCTCTGGGCTTGGATTCTTGCCTATTAGTGTCACCTCCCTGGCCATCACACTCCCCTTTATCTTCTCTTGTTACCAGTGGGGAGACACGGGGAGTTCACAGAATCA